TGGGTGGGTACACATATTGTGTTCAAGCCTGCCTTGGGGAAAAGGGGGAACTCTGGATGGGTTTTGAGGAAGACTGATCTAGGTGAGAAACATATGGTACTAATATTTTGAGGCATGCTGGAGCATAAGCTGTCATTGCTGTCATGATTCAAGTTGAAGACGTAACATTACCATGCATTTCTGTAAGATGTTTCATGGCTGGATGAAGGAAATTGGGTTCCCTTAAGCTCTCCTTCCCCATGACTCACCATGGAAACTGGAAGAGAACTCCCTGAATACCTTGACACCAGATGCTGCTGATGCCCTGATCAGATCCCCTTTAGTGAGCTTAGCTGCCGTGTCTGTTGCTTAGCACTTCTACTTCGTTGCCAGTGGATACTAGCTATCATTTCTGCATAGACATATCTTGAGCAAAATGGGAGATACCATGACTGGAGTTACATAATCCTTTCCCGAGGAAGCTGGCTGTCAGTGATTGCTCTGGTTGCAAGAAGAACAACCCTCGTGTCTGAAGGTGAGATAGCTACAGAACATTTTACTCTGCAATGCCTGGAACCTATGAATCAGGCCAATGCCAGTGTCTTCTAGAGGCACCATGGCTTAGACGCTCCTTATTTCCCTAGTTATAATGGCTTGGACCAGAACTGGTAGCAACAAAAAGTCGGGGCTGTTCGGTTTTACAAAGGGGTCTGGTGATACATTGTGTCTTAAATTTCAAGGAACCCAGACTGTTCCTTTGGCTTACAGTGTGTTTTTCCATATAACCTTTTTGTCCCTTTTTCTACTTGGGTAGGCCCTACGCCACAATTTCCTTGTATGGCAGTATCTCATCCATGCAAACTATAGAAGAATGTGAGGAATGGAGAGCTTTGCATATGATGTGTCAGAGAACAATTAGCATCCCCAGTTGACTGGTGATGGCTGGTTCCTGGGAGGGTCCTGTGTCAGTTCTCCGGTCCATAAGAATGAAGGCAGGGTGAGAAAAGGGTCAGTCTTGTACTGACTACTCTTTGCTTCTCCTGGGTGACAAAGGTCATGACTTTTAGCAGCACTTATTCTTATCTTCACATTCTGTGTTACATGTTCTAATGCATTATTCAGATCTTGTGAAGACAGAGCAGAGGACCAGCTCTGTACCCAGAGTTCCTCTGCAGGGGTCACACAGGGTGGGGGTATAATACATATACATAGGGATGAGACGGAGCCAAAAGGACTATGACCTCTCACTGTTCAGCAAAGTACATGGGCAACATGTGCTCAGACACCTAATCATAACCTGTCTTTGTGTGAGTCATGTAACTTCTCTTAGGTTGTTGATGCTACTGCTGCTGCTGCTGCTGCTGCTGCTGCTGCTGCTGCTGATGATGATGATATGTATACCAGGAAGCAGAAAATTCAGTGCTTATCCAAGGCAGGCAGTTAATAGGTGCAGTTGTAACTGGCCAGTTGCTGATCTTGGCAATGTTTTCCATTTCTAGATGACCATGTAGCAATGTAAGCCCAATGGTGCCAGCTATCCTACATTTAAAAGAAAAGTTGAATGTTTTGATTTTGAAGATGGGAAATCTCCCACTAATTCACACTTTTACAAAACAATGTGTGGTCATTCAGAGCAAATCTGTAGCTCATGGACCACTGGTTCATGACTTTGGAATTCACTTTTGGAATTAAATGTGCAGGTGCTACCTCTATCACAGTTGCTGTGCTGAGGTGCCAGAAAGCTGGAGTGCCTTCCCCTACAACCTCCATCAGTGACTCAGGATTAAGAATATAAACACTGCAACCTTTCCTTGCATCTCAGATGGGATAATTTGAGATTAGAGTTTGGCATGTATTTTTCAGCTAAGGATCAAATATAGTCAATGTTTTAGAATTTCTGAGTCATATATTCTGCATTGCAACTACTCAGCTGTGCCACTACAACACAAAAACAGCTAGAGACAACAGTTACTATGCATGACTAGGTTCCAGTAAAAATTTTTGCTACAATAGTTCAATGGGTCAGATATGGCCCCACATCAATTATATAACTTAGACTTTTATAGAGTATTCCTCTTCCTTCACTTCCTATTGGTGGTTTTTGAGAACCTTCCTCTTTATATGCTACTCTCACTCAAAGCCTGAGTTTTCAATGCCTTGCAAGTCACTCTTTGGCTTTATGTTTTGGGAGCACTTTCTGTTTGTATTTGAATTCTACCTTTCACTCTTCCTAGCTATGATGTTTTGAGCAAGTGACTCCATTTCTGTTTTTGTCTCAGGCTTCTCACCTGTGACCAAGAAAATAGTTCAAGTCCTCATTTAGAGAATAGTTAAGAGAATCTAAAGGGCTGTGGTCTGTTAAAATATGAACACTTTGCCTGACACATGGAACATGTTGGACAGGCCAGCAGTGACTGACTATTGTGTGAAAGGTGAAGCTTTGGATATCTTTTAGGAATTACCAAAATGATGAGCCAAGTGTCTCCTTGTGTGTGTATTTTCAACCTTTATCTTAAAGTCAGATTGCCCTTCCAGCTGATAGGGTGTGATGTAAGAGTCTTTGAAAGATAAGACAATAAAGGCACCTGGGTACAAGTTGGAAACCCGAGCCCTTTGAATCTTCATCACTCTCACTGGTTTCCTAAGAAGAGGAACAGATGAAAGACGGAGCTTCTGTCTTCAGCTGGCCTTATTTCAGCCCACTGGGAACATATGTTCTTGGGAACGATGTAGGAAAACACTTAAATAAGGCAGTAAGAGAAGCAAGATGAGAAGAATCCTCCAGGAACATGAATGCACCCTGATTCTTATTGCTTTTCCTTGCAGCAATCTTTTGTGGGATGAAAACTACTCTTGGAACCAGACAAAACTGGATTTGAATTCTGCTGGGTCATTATTACCTTGGGCAAGCTACATTTCTTCTCTGGGCTTCAGTTTCCTGGGCTCTGTTTATAAATGTTTAATTTTTTAGTGATTTTCTTCCTCAGTTATTTGTCATTTCATTCCCTCCTTCTGGAGTTTGACATAGAATGGATGGCAGAAATCTCAAACATGTTTTCTCAGAGAGAAACAAGATGATGGAAACAAACTTTAAAGTCCACTTGCTTTTTTCTTTAACAAAGTCACCACTGATTTGGAGATTTCCTTGCCTTACTGTCTGGTAGAAAATTTTAAGGAAGTGCAAGAAAAGGGTGACATAATGCACAGAAGCAAAAGGGTTTCATCTGGAGGACCAAATCTGATGGACTGCGAATAGCTACTGTGAGTGTTGCATAAAGAAGAATGGTAGGGAGACTCAGCATGTTCTTACCAGAAATGCTGAGAAATGTTTTACATGATGGGGTGGGGCTCAGTGGCAGTGCACTTGCCTGGCATGCACAAGACTCCAGGTTTCATTCCCAGTGACACACACACACACACACACACACACACCCCAAAACAAAACAGACAGACAGAAACCAGAAGTCTGACTTGATGTCGAAGTGTGGGAAGAAGGCAGAAGTGCTATCTATATTTAAACCTATCTTTGAACACAAACCTGTTGAAAGAATGCAAAGTAAATCTAAGCAGTATTTCCTATGATCTTTAACTGGCTTTAAATAGCAATGAACACATATATACTTTCTGAGCAAAGCAAATATTTGTATGTGTATATAAAGTTTTATGGATGGACACAGAAATGGATGAGGTTAGTCTTATTAGAAATTGTCTTTTCTGTCATTTGACTCTCTATTAACAAAATGATTGCTTTCCAGTGCAACAGATAATTTCCCCACTCTCTAGAGCAAGTGTCTTTGAGGATGACTATAGTATAAATCCTACAGAGGTCTTTGACTGGTGATCTGGGTCACCTATATATCTACGCATCAATCACAGTGTCCAGGAAGACAAATAAGTCTGACTGCCGGTCCGGGAGAGTGGTGTATACCATTCAAGTTGTATGGACTCAAAAATATTACTCTGCAATGGGGTAGTTTAGGATAGTTTTTCCAAAGAAGAGATTCTGGGGAGGAAAGAAATTCAGCTCTGTGGAATGTGATTTGCAAAATACACAGTAAGGACAAGGTGGCTGTCAAGATTCCTTTCTGCTATGAAATTTACTTATTATGTTTTTCCATGAATAATGACATGTAATTGATGCCTTTCCTCTATAAGCCTGATTTCCAGCAGAAAAGTGATAAAAGATAAATTCTGGGACATAGAAACAAGGCTATCAGAAGCATGTTCAGCAACAGGCTGATTCAGATTCACAGCACACAGCCTTAAACAAAGAAGAACACACAAGTTGTTTTCAACTTGTGTAAGGCTCACTTGCTTTTGTGATGCTCAGGTTTGAACCCATGGCCTTCCTGGTGAGCTACATCTTTAGCCCCTTTTATTTTTGAGACAAAATCTCACTAAGTTACTAAGTGGCCCCAGCTGAACTTAAACTTTCAAACTTCCTGCCTAGTCTCTCAGAAAGCTTTGCTTATAGGCATCCACCACCACACCTGGTTTTTCCTCACATTTTGTTCCTTCCCTTCCTGGAAACAGTCTCTGTGAATGGCTTTTACTTATTTTGCTGTGTATTAGTCTTCTAGGGCTGCCAAAACAAAATACCAAATATTGAGTGACTTATGCAATAGAAATCTATTCGCTTACCCTTCTGGAGGCTGGAAATCTAAGACCAACACGTTAACAGTGTTGATTTATTCTGAGGCTCCTCTCCTGGTTTCAGGCAAGCATGTCCTCTCTGCGTGCCTAGCTGGCTTTTTCTCTCTGTGTGTTAATTCCTAGCACCACCTCCTCTTTTGAAAAGAACACCAGGCAGATTGAACCAAAGCCCCACTCTTATGATCTCATTTAACCCCAACTACTTCCTGATAGACTCTACCAACATATAGGATGGCGTTATGTATCAAAGATTCAACTCATAAATTTAGAGGAATGAAAATCAGACTGTAACATGAGAATTTTCTAACTCCTTCTGCATTATTTTGTCTATGTTCAGGCCAGCCCTCCACCTTAGGTAGAATACCCACCTTACTTCCTTTGCCCGCTGAACTCTCCTTCCTTCAACGATGTCTTCCCTGAGCTTCCTTAGGTTCCCAGCCTTTCCTACTCAGACAGACCTCTATGTGGCTCACAGCCTCACCTATATGTCTGTGTGTCACTCCACTGCATCACAGGTGTTTGGGTATCTGTGTCCCTGACCATCCCTACCCCCACTCCCCACCTGCCAAATGCATCCTGAGCATGAAGGGAGTGATTCAGCAGTTTGTTGTCCCCAGTACTTGGCACAGAGTAGACATTTGATAAATGTTTGATGACTTAAATTGGATTGAAGCTGAACAAATAGAAAGTGTATTTTGCAATTATTCCCCTGGCTTAGAAATGATACGAGTTAGGAGACTGATTGCTATAGCATTAGGATAGTACATTACAGATCTTGGTATTGTATGTCTTGTGGAGAAGCTCTGAGTCTTTCTCAGTTTTGAAGGAGGAGCATGGGCTCAGGCTGAGTTGAGGAAAGAGAAAGAGCACACCTTAGGAGAACTCTAGGAGCTGCTATTTACAGGGAAAGAGCGAGTCATAGACCCATGACATATGGTCAGGTGGCTTGCACTTAGTATTACCATAGGAATGTTCTGTGATTGGGCCTATCATATATGTCAACTTTGTCTCTTTACCCATTGCAAAAAGATGTGAGAATTCTGGGAGTAGAACTGACTTTTATCTGAGGGGTCAGCTCAGGTACTCTGTCCTACAAACTGCAGTGACTGTGCTTGATTAAACCAGGATATTTCAAGTGATCACTGCTGCCTAAATATACACCCTAAATAGAGGCTTAAAATACTACTATGTATTTTATGTCTTAACTTTTTCAAGAGTATGCTGATAGAGTGAGTTCAGACAGGTAGTTCTTCCATGTAAGTACTAATCAGGCCCGACCCTGCTGAGTTTCCCAGGTCAGACGAGATCAGGTGCATTCAGGGTGGTATGGCTGTAGACAAGATAGGTAGTTCTTGAGCTGGATCTTTGAGTATTTCTTGGGTGTCTTTCAATACATCTTCATTCCTGTTTCTGAGTTGGGAAGATTCAAAGAGTAGGAGCTGGAATGTGTGGTCAGCCACTATGGTCTATCTTGCTATCTCTCCTTTCCTCTCTCTCTCTCCTACCTTTTCATACGGTCTCCCTTTTGGTGACTTCAGAACAGCAAGAGTTTGTATGTGTGGTGTCACTTCCACTTACGGATCCAGTGAATCACAATACAGGCCAGTGACTCACAATACAGGCCAGTGACTCACATTCCACCCAGATTCCAGGACAGATGCCATGAATTCTCTCTCTGGGCCAGGGGATGCAAGCCTATGGAAGACACGAGGACAGGAAAGATGATTATGGTTGCTGTTGAAAAGGACTATCCTCCATTGTTTCTAGAAGCTGATGCTTTTCACTCATTACCCACATGTGTTCTGCAGAGCACGAACTCACTGTCACAGATTGGCATGGCACTGGCAATGGTACAATCCTTTGATAGCCTTTATAAGGAGAAAGAATAGAGCCTCCTCTTTTCACTTCTGTAGATTTCTGGTTCTGAAAGAGCAACCTAATGATAAAGCTGTCCTGATCCTACAGACTTCTGAAGAAAACTCTCTTGATGTGTACCAGAAAAAGAGTAAAGCCCTAATTCTGATAAATCAGTTAACGAAGAACTATTAGAAACTCACAAAAAGTATCACGCTAAGAACTATTCTTCCTCACCTAGCCTGGAAGTGAATTCTAAACATTATTCCCATTGTGTAGGTGGGAAATGAAGCCACACACATTGACATGGTTTTTGAAGGTCTTCTGCTGTATAAAAAGTAAGATGTAAATATGCTACTTCTATTTGTAAAAATACCCATGGTTATGTCTTCCTTTATGCTGTGCTAAACAAATGTGTTAAGTGCTTCCAGAATTGGTTGACCATAGGATCCTTTCCTCAAATAAAATGTAACTTAAATTCAAATAAATAAATTACAAATCAAGAATACTGATTTAGAAAATCTAAGTAGGCTCTCCTCAGCACAATGTAATACTATTTAACTGGTTGACAGTTCTACATGAATGTGTTGCTCAATCACATGCACAGACATACATGCATTATCAGTAAATTGTCACCTTTAATCCATCCTGCAGCACTTAGTGAAATGGCAGGGAAAAGAAGGTTTCTTTCATAAATTCCACAACAGCAATACTCAGCTGCATTTTTGGTTCTGTGATACAATTACAACCTGGTGTTATAATTTTAAACTGAGCTTAAAATAGAGTCTGTCCAATATACTAACCATTGTTACTCTCCCAATAACTTGTTTTGAAATTTTGCATTTTTTATTGTTTTTTCTCTCTCAAATAAGAAAAATAATAGAGTCCTTGGTCTGAATTAGACTTTCATTCATACTACAAACATATTTGGTATAATTTATGATCATAACTCAGTTGCTTTGCTAGGGTTATTCTGTGCTGTTCTAATTCCCCCTCAACCACTTCTCCGTCAAAAGTATCCCAATTATCAGACTCTTTTCTTCTCTTTTTCTTGCAAGATTTATGCTGGATTTTGATATTTGTCTTGTGATTTCTTCCACTTTCTCTGTCCTTTTCTTTTTTATTCTTCACTTGTTCAACATCATATATACATATACATGCCTTGTTCAACATCATATATATATATATATAATGTTGTCTTGGTTCACAAATGTTTTTGTTAGAAAACAATTTGGTTCACAAACAGAAGCATTTGGCAAAAGTTTGGTTTTGTCTGCAAGTTCTGCATTGCATGAGAAACATAGCCACAACTAACCATCCTGCGTGAACATGAACATGGTCATGTTTTGCAGAATCACTGTTGGAACAAATTAAATTCATGCTGCAAGGTATCAGTAGATAGATAGATAGATAGAGAGAGAGAGAGAGAGAGAGAGAGAGAGAGAGAGATGTTATGGTTCCAGCTTTGAACATCTAGATTTCAAACTAGTGCAACCAATATTCCCAACAGAACAAAATGTTTCTGGGTAGCTGAGCTGTACATTTTTTGTACACTGGTGCCCAAAGCCAGTTGCTTATACAAAACTATCACTATTTTCCTTATACTCATCCTCCTTGTGACAGAAGAATAAGCTGTTATTCATAAAAGTGTTTACATTTACAGACCTGTTTTACTCATTTTACTAATGGGTTTTACTCAAAAGCCAAGATAAAATATGGAGCCAAGTGTGTCTATTACTCAAATGACAAGGAAGAAATAAAATTTCTCTGTCAACAAGGTTCTAACACAAAATAACAGGCCACACCCAAAGTGTCATTCACCTCTGTTGGCATTTGGCAAGTTATAGCTCAGATCTAGTAGCTATGATTTATTTTGATGTCAAAAAGTTATTCACATGTTTATATAAAAAGAAAGTGGCAGATCAACAGTGTGTTGATTATGAAGGTGCTGTGTAATAAATCAGCACAGTGATTCTGGTCATCTTGCCAATTTTGACATAGAGACTTGCTTATTTATGGCATTTTAAGGTCTGAGGAGTTGATTTATAGTTGCAATAACATACTCCCATCCATTAGCAGTTCCGGCATGCTTAGATATGTCACTCTTTTGCATTTAATGATTGGCATTTTTAAAATTGCATGACTATAAATTGTCAAGCAGGATGAAAACTCAGTTTAAAACATAATTTTGTTGAAACATTTATTTTTTGCAATGAAAGTGTGATAGTTGGGATATCATACATTACCAGCATTGTTTCTTTTCGTCCATCCTTGTGCCATTTTAACCATGATCCCAGGTTATTGAAATACCAGGATCTTTATGAATGGTCTCATTCAAACTCCTCATTTTGCAGAGGGAGAAATTGAGGCAGAGCAGGAATGACTTTCTTAGGGTACTTCTCCAACATTTGTCTGATTTATTGGCAGAGATTTACAAATGAAGATTTCCAAGACTACACTTAAGTGTAGGGCTGAGACCTAGACACTGCGTCCTTCAGAAGATATGGAAGAATGACCTGATTTGAGGACCAGATTTGGAAGCAGATGGGAACTTCAAATCCCCTTTCCATTGCTTACCAACTTTATATCTTTGAGCCAGCCTGCATAACTGGTGTGTTCAAAGAAGGAAGAATAGATATCACAAACTTAGAAGTCTGTTTAAAGATGAAATTCAGTATGGGGGAAATTCTCTGGCGTATTATGATAAGTCACCAATAAAGTATTACTTTCCTCCTTCACCTTTAATGCTTCCCTTTCTGTGCTTGCGCGCGCGCGCACACACACACACACACACACACACACACACACTCTTTCTGGACTAATTGATTAACTTTATGAGAATGCTGTTCTATATTCCACTAGTTAAAGGTCTTTAAAATGATCACACTCAGACACACTGTGTATCTCATGAAATTAAATCAGTTCATTCATTGCTCAGTTTTTCAAAGGGCACTTTTTCTCCTCTGTGAGCATCTTGGTGTGATGTTGGCTTTATAGGCTGGTGCATTCTATTGCTCACATGACAGCAATAAGAGAGAAAACTAACAGTATTTCCCCCCTTCCCTACCCCAGTGCATGTTTTAATGAGCATGTGGACTCCTTTTTGAGTAAGCTAGTTACCTTCCCTTTGTTCTGCAAATCTGGGCTAGGGCTGCAGAGATAGGGTCCAGAGTCATAATGTGAGCCTGTCAAACAGCAGAAGAGATGGAGTGAAGTGCAAATAAGCAAGTCTGCATTTTGGTTTTGTGGAGTGACATTTGGGGGAAGGGATTTCTTTCTGTGGTGTTTTAATCACTGTCTTTATTGCTAGACCAAAATACCAGATACACACAACTTAAAGTAAGAGAGGTTCATATTGGCTCAGAGTTTTTAGAAGATCTGGCCTATAGTTAGTTGGTACCAAGGGAGGACGAGCAAGGACCAAAGCTCTGGGGGACAAAAGTTGCTCATGCCATGGTGATCAGGAAGCAGAGAACAAGAGGAGCTGGCAAGGGAGACATGCAAGATCCTGCTTCCTAACAACACAGCTAGCTAGGGAACGCTTCCACAATCTAATCACTTTTCAGAAGCCCCAGCTCTGAACACATGAGATTTTGAGGGAACATTCTAGGTGTAAGCCATAATATGTGGGCAGTCAGACTTTAAGGATGTAGGTGTACAGTGTTTTTAGATTACCTTGCTAAAGATTCCTCATTTATAGCTCCCTCATTAAATGTCCCCCGTGGTCGTTTGGTATTGAACCTGGCCTTTGGGGTTGAGCCTGGCCTTGAGGGGAATGAGTGGGCTGTGTTTCCTGCTAGTTAACACTTGCGTTCACCAAGAGTAAGCCACATGCTCAGGTTTTGTCAAATAACTTCTCAAAGAAATCATATCAAAGACAGCCACTGAAGAATAAACATAGAGTAGGGGAAAAGATTTGAAATCTAAGGGCCAGTGGTAGCAGTTTTAGTCCTTGCCTCTGCTCACTTGTGAAAGACAAAAAAATAAGCAGTTAGAACTCATAACCTCTTGTCCTTCCCTTCCCTTCCCTTCCCTTCCCTTCCCTTCCCTTCCCTT